GAATGCCAAAGGGAAAATACAGGTCAGGGAAGTGGCTGGATCTTGCCACAACCTCCCACCCCCACTTGAAGGGTCTGTGTGAGGCAGATCCTCCCACCAGCCTGAGTGACTTCTGCCTTTCATGGGGCACTCCCAGCCCCCTGGGATTGTCTGGCACTTAGGAATGGAGCTGACTTGGGGCTCAGGACATCACATCCGAGGAGATCAGAGCCCCAGAATAGAGGCAGGAGAGAGCCCTGTAGTCACCTGAGAGGGACTGGTAGAGAGGCCGTCCCAGTGTCCGTTGTAAATGTACACGCTGCCAAAGCTGGAGCCATCATCTGCCCCAGAGCCCTCCAGGGGGGCCCCGATGGCCACATCTGTGAGCTTATCCTGACTGATATCCCCCACTGTTGCCATGGCAAAACCAAATCGGGCATTAGTGAACCTGGGGTGCCCACTCAGCATGTGTGCCAAGGAGAAGGAGCCATCCTGCAAAGCAAACAGGCAGCTCAGCCCTCAAGACGGGGATGTAAGACGCCCACTTCATTCCCACCCCAGGAGCCATGCTCACTGGACTGGATCCTCCAGCAGGGACTCTGAGGCTCAGAAAAGGCAAGGGACCTTCCCAAGGTCACATAGTGAGCAAGTGGTAAAGCTGGAGTCCTCCCACCATGTCATTCACTAGAGCCTGCCTCCTCCTCTCCCACAGTTAGGGCACTGGACTGGCAATTGGGAGGCCTGGGTTCTAGTCTCGGCTCTATCCCATACTTGCTATGTAAACTTGAACAAGATTCAACATCATTGAGCCTGAGCTTCCTCATCTGTAAAGTGGGAGTGACAGCTATGTCCCATAATTACTAAAGAAACAAGTGAGATCATAGACAAAACATGTTTTGTCAACCATGCAGTTATTTGGGATGTCATCACTATCAATATGAGATGATGGGGTGGGGAAAGTGAGAAAGTGGGATATGGGAGCTGCCCCATCTGGCTGCCATCCACCCTGAGTACCTCCCCATCACTGCCCTCTGGCACAAGGCAGAGCCAGGGCACTTCCAGACTCCATCATCTCCACACCAGGCTAAGTAGCCACAACCCCAGCAAGCTTGCAAAGAAGGAGACTCTCCCACCTGCTTATTCAGACGGTATACATAGACTCTGCCTTCCTGTCCGTGAATATGGTAAAATGGAGCAGCCACCAGCAAGAAGTCTGTGATTCCATCCATGTTGATGTCCACAGGGCACAGCTCAGAGCCAAAATAGGACCCCATCTACAGCCAGGAGGAACTCAGCTCACAGGGAGTACTGGGAGGCCCCCTCCTCCACCCCTCAGCAAGGCTAGACCCCTGTTCCTGCTCTTCTTGAGCCAGCAAATTTGGGTCATTTCAGATCAGTCTGTTCACCAGAGTAACACAGGAGACTGGGTGGGCAGCCTGATCTCCCATAATGGGGAAACCACTGGCAATCAGACATGCAAAGCCAGGGCAGAGGCACTGAGCTGTGCCTGAGTTCTGCCTAGTTTGGGTCTTCAATCCACTGGGTACCCTGGAGCCCATCCATCCTTTTTCCTCTGGGGCCTCTGGATCCCCCACTTGTAATAATGGGGGAGTCCCATGGTCCTTCCCCAGCAGGTACCTGCTCTCCCTCCAGCACTGGCATGAAGTTGGTCTCTCTGCCCTCCTTCTGGAGCTCAAACACAGCCCCACGCTGCTTGTGCTGTGGAGCCCCTGCCATATAGGTGATGCCACAGGCCTTATGCAGCACAGCCACTGAGTAACCTGGGGGAGGGGTGTGGTTGTGATGGGGAGCTCCCTCTGGGCCACTCCTTTGGCCCCCCAACTTCCCAGCCAGGCCTTAAAAGTGGCCTGGGCAGGAGGGCAAAATAGGAGACTGTCTTTTTCATCTTCTTTAAAATTGGCATCAGGGAGCACTCCCATTTTCCCACTGTTGCTGATCACACACATGTGCCCCGTCACGCAGATGTGGTCTACACACATCATCATATTTACAGCTTCACTCAGAAAATACTCATTCACACACCCACTACACGAGGACCAAGGTGAGGGGTGAAGGGTCACCCACCACTATTATCAGTGGTGAGGTCCTGTCTTCCCTAAGTAGCCACCCAGGGCCACCCTGAGAATCGGGTACTGAGCAGGCCCTGTCCTCCAGGAGGCCCTAATTTTCAGCATCAGGGACCCTAACCAGGGCCCATCCCTCAGTCTGTGCGACCGATCAGAGCCATTCCCAACCAGGAAGCCTAGTGAAGCCTGACGTCCAGTTTCGGTGTCCCTGCTTAGGCCATGCCCTCACCTAGCTAGTTTCAAGGCCCTGTCCTCACCCAGGTAGCTGTGCTTTCCAGCCTTAGCGTCCACCGCTGTCTGGTTCAGGAAGTGGCCCCGGCGGCTGTGAATGTCATAGAGCAACGCGCCCCCTGACCAGTCAAAGGCCCCGACAGCACCGAGCAGCACCTTCCCCTGCAGAGGACAAGGATAGGAGGTCATCTGAGAGGGAGGAACCCCGGGACAGCCACATAGGCCTTAGGTCTACCAGCCAGCACAGTGAACTTTGATGAGGAAAAGGGGTGTCCAGTGGCCCCTTTCCCATCTGGCCAGCAAAGGAAAAGGAAGGCGAGATGGCAAATACTGGGTTCCTGCCTTGTACCCACGACCCTGTCAGAGAAGCCAACCCTCTAGTACTAACAACCCCCAGAGCAGAAAAGCGAACTCGGGGCCCAAGTGTGGAGCATTAAAAGAGATATGACTGAGAAGACAGTGCTCATCTCCTTCTCCGCAGGTTGCCCAGCCTGAGCCTGGCATACAAGTCCCACCTGGTTTGAGTGACGGGCTTATCACGCTTCTACCATGCACAAGGGCTGTGTCCTCACTATGCCTGTATCTCAGCCCATCTGTGGGAACAGTGCCTCTAGTGGGGAGAAGTACGCAACTTGGCTGCCAAGCTGATCCAGGCCAAAACCTGTGTTACTAGTCTGCATTAAGAACTGCTCAATCCTTGAGCACACAGAACAAGACGACCTCTCATAATAAATATAGCCATTCTTTTGTCTACCTCAGAAGTCCAGAGTAGGGTGAGCAAGCAGAAGTGTTTTCCTTTATTCTAAAAAGGCTCTTTCATAGGCATCAGGGGTCCTTGAGTCCCAGGGTATTGCTGGGACCCCGTCTCTATAGCAAGCCTGCCTGGTGCTGAGTCAGCCACGTACCTCATCCAGGATCTGGGCACTGAACCCAACCTGTGCCAGCTGGTAGTGAAGGGCCTCTCCCACCGTGCCTGGAAGCCAAGAAGCCCAGTGAGACACTGCTGTGAGCAAAGTGAAGGAAGAAACCAAGCCAGGGAAGGGTCCAGCCTGGCCTTGCTCCCAGAGAGAGCCAGATTCCGTGTGATGGGATGAGCACCAAGCTAAGAGTAGAGATATGGGTCCTGTTTTAGCAGCTACTGGCAGAGGGCTTAGGCAGTTCCTTCCCTCTTTGGGGGCCTCAGTTTCCTCATCTGTGAGCTCCTGGGGGCAGGAACCATGCTCTAGTCATCCTCGTTTATCCAGCACTAGGTCAGTTCATCAGAGCTTCATGGAAATTCAAGGAAGTGAGGAGGGCTGGGGATATTGTTGCCTTATTAGAGATGGAACAGCTGAAGGTCAGATTGGTGACAGGAGTTGCCCAGAGTGCCACATGGCAGTAGGACAAGGGTGGGGCTTGAGCACAGGGCTTCCTATTGAATGCTGAGGAGACAGACACAGGGTGGCCAGGCCCCTAGAGCCCTCACCTTCCATACGAACGATGCTTTGCTGCAGTTGGTTCAGTAGCCCATCCAGTGCTGTGTAGTTGGTCACCTTGAAGGCATGGGTCTCACTGGGGGCCGAGGCAATCAGCTTCAGTTCCCTCTCAGTCTTAGCCTTCTTAAATGCATCTCCCACCTGCACAGAGGCCCCAGGTCAATAGTTCAGCAGCCCATCCAGTGCTGTGTAGTTGGTCACCTTGAAGGCATGGGTCTCACTGGGGGCCGAGGCAATCAGCTTCAGTTCCCTCTCAGTCTTAGCCTTCTTAAATGCATCTCCCACCTGCACAGAGGCCCCAGGTCAATAGGGTGGAACCGTGGGGGCTGGCTGGTTCCCAAGCCCAGAGGGCTCTACAGGCCCAGGGAGAGCACTGAGCCCTGCCACCTGGCCTTCAGGTCCTTTATCACCTGCCTCTTTCTTTCCTTATTCCTTGTTCTCCCCACCACATACTCTGGGCTCCAGTTTTACCAATCTACACGTGTTTTCCTGAACACACCAGGCCTCTTCTCACCTCTGCACACACTGTTCCCTCTGCCTGCAGAACCCTTCCCACCTCCCCGTGCCCTAGGCCAGCTACTCCTGTTTGTCCTCTAAGACTCAGCTCAGCACTATCTCCTTCAAGATCCCTGCCCTGTTGTCCTTCCTGTGGGCTCCTAGAGTGTCCACTGCTCTCCTCATCACTGCTGGGCAAGTGAGCCGTGACTAGCCTTCTGTGGGAAGACCTGTTTGGGGTGCAAGTGGTGAACAGGACATGGGGACTGGGAGAAGTGTGTGAGTTTTTGTGAACAGCACAGAGTTTGGGTAAGCTGCTGACAGGAGCCCCCAAAATCCTGTCTCCTCCCCACCCAGGCTATACAGGGTCAGAAGATGCCCCCTGCCCCTGGCTCTTACCCCAATGGCAAAGCGCTCGACATCTTGCATCTTTGGAGAGTTGATGACAGTCGTGAGGTTGAGGGGGTCGTCAAATATGTCCCCATCAGTGAGCACCACCATGACCTTGGATGCCTTGTTGCTGGAGCCATGGCTTGGCGTGAAGATGTTGTCCCTAAGTAGGTGAGAGTAAAAGAAGGGAAAACTTTGCCAGAGGGATGGCTGAGCTTGGGGAGATTTTATTCACAGATCTGTTTTAGGATCGGGGAGAATTAAGGAGCCCTCACAGGGGAACGAAAGCCCAGAAAAAGCAGGGCTGGGTGGAGGAAGGGCTGCAACACAGGTGTTCTTGCCCTATACCTGCTCCCAATAGGAAAGTGCTGGACAGCACAAGTCTATTCCTTGTGCATATGTGTAAGAATAATAATGACATGAATAACAGTGGCTAATATTTACATAGCACTTACGTGCCAGCCACTGCTGTAAGCACAGCACAGAGTTTAAACCATTTAATCCTCACAAAATCATAGAAGGCAAGTGCTATGATTATTTTTATTTTTTAAAATGAGAAAATTGAAACACAGAAGGTTAGGCAGCTTGCCCAAGTTCTCAAAAGTACAAACTGGAGTTGAAATGTGGACCCAGGCAGCCTGGCCACTGAGCCCAGCCCTGTCAGCACTGTGCTTTACTTCCACTCACAAGAGGATTCTTTGGAAGATTTTTTGGAGGACTAAACTGCGGTGTCATCCATCAACTAAAGCTGGATTGAAAGCTCTCACATTCCTCTCTTAGCCAAGGAAGAGCTAGAACCCTGATCCTCTCCTCTTCGCGGTTCTGTCCAGCACCTCTCCAGGCATGATGCTGCAGAGCCTCTGGTCAGGGCCATGAGCTGGCACCCAGTAGGTGCTCAGGTAATTCCCACTGCCCTCACACTCACAGGACATGCTGCATGGCAGAGGCAGTCTTCGTGACATTCCCCACTTGAGTGATGTTCTGGACTCTGGCGAGGGAGGCCACCACATCCTGGCTGTAGCGAAGGTCAAACTCAGTCTGGATCTTTGCCCCGTACTGCACCAGGGCAAAGCTGCACTGGAGAGAAGGGCCGAGGGGGAGAGGAGGTTGGCAGAGTCGCCGTGCCCAAGACCCTTGAATGGTCCCCTCTAGAAGCAGTGGAAGAATCCACTCACTCCTCATCTCAGGCAGGAAGAGATGCTAAATCTCTAAGCAAGCAGGGGTGGAGGATGGTGTATAGCTCCTAGTGAATCACAGACTTCTCTCTGAATCCATGTCCTGTGGAGTCCTATCCCATTCATATTGACCACATGACTTGCTTTGGCAATGGAGCATCGGCAAATGGGATACAACCAGAGACATGAAAAGGGCTGGCGTGCATTGGGTGTTGCCCTCTTGGAATGTTGCAGCCATGGAAATGTTGAGCTGACCTGCTGGAGATACATGGCCAGACAAGTGAGGCCATCTTAGGCCTTCTAGTCCCGGTCAAGCAGCTAAATACCCACAGCTACAGGAAAAAAACTTTAGGCAAACGAGCAGAAGAACTGCCCAGCTGAGCCCAGCCCAAATAACTGACCCACAGAACTGTGAACAGATCCATGGTGGTTGTTTTGAGCTGGTTTGTTCACAGCAATAGATAGAAATAGACTGTGTGAATCTAGCTCCTAGAGAAACCCACCTCGAAGCACTTCTCATAGAAGTTCTTCATCATATTGGAGATAAAGTCTTTGGCTCTCTGGAAGTCCGGGGGATCGATGCTTCCTGAGCCATCCAGGATGATGGCGATCTCGGTGCCTGGGCCAGACAGGGAGCAGGTCAGGAGTGGGCATGGAATCTGGGGCAGGAGTGAGGGCAGCACATCCTACCCTGTGGGGTACCCACCCCATTCAAGCCCCAAGCGCTCAGTTCAGGGAAGAAGTCGGTGAAGCTCCCGAGAGTGAAGCCTTTGTCTCAGAGGCAGAGAGACAGCCAGAACCTGCTCAACTCTGACTGTGTGTCACTCCCATCATTCCCACTCTCTGGGCCTCAGTTTCCCCACTGTAAGATTCGGGGGGACAGAGCTTGAACTGGCCAGGCCTGTAGAATCCAGACACTGCTCCCCATCTCCCAGAACTAGGCACACCTCACTCCCGGAGGTCGCTGGCCTAGGTGTCAGCTCTAATAGCCTCTGGGAGCAACCCAGGTCTCACCAGCTCCTTCTTCCTCCTCTTCTCCCTCCTCCATCTTCAGAGCCCGGCGCCGCCTGGCTGTATTCTCTGTGCTGCTTTTTTTGTTCCTGTAGCAATCTCCAGCATCCACGGGAGCCTCGGGATCCAGGAGATTTTCTTTAAAAATTACACATGGAAGAGCTCAGAGTCAGACAGCCTCCTTGTTCTCCTCTTTATTCTCTAGGCAAGCCCACGCTTAGCTCTGCACTGGTTCCCGTCGCTGGGGGGACCTTGGCCTGCTTTGCCTTCTCTGGGCCTCTCTATCCCTTTGCATCTGCAGCAGGCTTGTGCCTTTTCTTGCAGACCCAGGGAGATCTCTTTAGAGTTGTCCAAAGCCAGTGAGTATCCAATCCTTACCGATGTTGGAGAAGGAGACTTGGGCCTGGGGACGAAGGTCGGGGGCCAGCAGGCTGCAGGTGCCTGTGAGCTCTGAGCTGAGGCTGTGGGGCCGCCGGGCCACCACTTGAATGCAGATCTGGGGGAGGGGGCAGAAAAGGAGGGAGTGAGCCTGGGTCACCCCCGGCCCACGCCCCCTAGTCACAGCCACCTAAAACCAAGTGTCTCAACCAGGCAGGGGACACAGGAATAGCTTGTTCACCCCTCAGCAGGGGTAGGAGTAAGTGCCAAGGTCAGAGATGAGGTTAGCACCTAGGTCTGTGTGCTGGCCTCATGGGCAAATCCACGGTCAGCCCAATTGTTGGCACCAGGGCGACAGCTGGGCTCGGCTCCAAGAATAACATACAAGTCCGAACTGGTATTAACACCAGTTTACCACAGGGGGCAGCTCCAGCCTCCCCAAGGCCCTCCAGCTGCCCATCCATGCACACTCACCAAAACACCGTGGTGGTTCCGGACAACTGTCACTCCACGGTGCCTTCCCTTTGGGATGGGGACATGCTCTGAAACAGTTAAGCCCAGGTAAGGAGGGAGGGATGCAGGAAGGCAACCCTGTAGCCAAGGTCAGAGGAAACAGGGCCAACTTGGTCAGGGCCTCCTGAGGAAATGTTGATACAGAACAGCTTCTAGAAGCTTGATGGGGGCCCTTCAAGGACAGGCCTAGACTCAGTCAGGGAAAAGCACCTATTCCCCAGGCTCATTTAACGGCTCATTCAATAAATGCCCAGTGATGTCTGCTCCATGCCGGCCTTGTGCCAGATGGCAATGGGGATCTGGAAATAACTGAGACGTGGCCCTTTTCCTCCGGGACTCCCAGTCTTTGGGGGCAGGCAGGCAGAGAAGCTAGCTGGGGTGTATGTGCAGTGCTGGAGAGATGTGCAAGATGCTGAGGGACTGGTTCAACGGGCTCATGAACTCTCCACTCTCGAAGACCCGTCTCTGGGGGGTCTTACCACCCACAACCCCAGGGGCGGACGTGGTAGCCCCTTCCTCTCCATTCCCAATGTGGGCCTCAGGAGATGATCTCATTTTTGAGCCACTGGGTCACCCAGTCATCCTGCTCACCCGTGTGCCCTGTGCAGCCTGTTCAACATAGTGTCTCTCACAGAGACAAGGCTTTTGCCTTAACACAGCCAAGGGGTCATCAGCAAATGTGTGCCTTGAGTTGGATTGGGTGGAATGAGTAGCGTTTGATTAATAAGTGAATTTGGTCCATTTATTTGTTCATTCATTCAAACAGCATGTATTGAGCACCTAATATGTACCAGGTCCCATGGCAGACACTAGGGTGGCCTCAGTTAGACTGGGAGGGTAGCATTGGATTCCACTGAGATGTGACGAGTTGGAATAGGTTAGGTTTTGGAATCAAGTGAAGTTGAGTTCGCACCTATGGTGCTGCCAATAACAGGTGCATGACTTAGTCATACTGGCAACCAAAGGACTTCTCTGAACTGTAGGTTCCTATTCTGTAAAGTGGTGTGGTTTAGGGGATTAAAAGTGAATGAAGAAGTACTTAACATAATGAGCACTCAATACATTTTAGGTATTGTTTTTGTTGTTAGGACTGGGTCAGGAAAGGTAGGCTGGGAATTAGGGTTGGGTTGAGATGGGATTGGGCATGGATAGAAGGCGAGCTGTGGGTCGTGGTGGAGTCTATTGGGGCGGGGCTGGATTGGGGGGTCAGTGGAATGGTTTGGGCTTAGTGAGTGGGATTCCTAGAAAGGAGGTCCTGGGAGCATTTCCTGGAACTGAGCCTGACTTACCTACTGGTTGGCAAAGGATCTCATTCTGCGTGAGGATGCATTGATGCAGGGGCTCTGCTGTCCTGTTGGTCCTAGGGCTGGTGACCAGAAGCCTGAGTGGGAAAGTAGATAGCAAAATTGAGCCATTTGAGGATTCCTTTCTTCTCCCTCCTGGCCTAGGTGCAGTCTTCCCATTGCAGACCCACAGGCTCACAGGCTTCCTGTCTGGAAAACTGTGGAGAAAGCCCAGACCTGGGAAAGGCAGGCAGGCCCCCAGCCCAGAACGATGGACTCTGCATTAGGCGAAAGGCATTTACTCAGCCTCTACCTTTGCACAGCTCCAGGCAGGAAATGGTTAAATGCATCCCCTCTCCGCCTGCTGGCCCATCCTGACAAAGATGGGGCGATAGTGGTGATAAATAAAGACTCTGCTCTTTGGTTTTGATAGGGAGAACCAGGAAGCCACCGGCAGCACAGCTGGTTATGTTGGGGACAGTGATGCCAGAGAAGGCGGGGTGCCTGCCCTAGTATTTCCTGAGAAGAGCACGCTGGTGTCCCTGTCCTTATGAGTCAGTCAGAACTGGAGGTCTGGGGGAGGCAGGCGCATCAGCCTGATTAAGGCAGCCTCAGCTGTGATGCCAAATGGCAAACTTCGCCCCCTCACCCCAAGCCCAGGGAGATAGCAGAGTCCAGTGTCAGCCCACACTGCCCAGGGAGGACTGGGCTGCTGGAGACAGGGAGTGAGCTTCCTGTCCTAGGGTTGTGAGGAGGGTGTGCTGGGGAAGGGGCCCTGAGGCTGGACGTAGTAACAGCGAATAGTGCACCAAGTCCAAGGTCTTTACGCTGAGGGCAGCAGGAAGCACAAAGGAGTTTATAAAGGGGAAGCACATGATTAGTCTCTGCTTTTGAAAGGTCACGATGTGGCTATGGTGGGCTGGGGAATAGGGGGACAGGAATGAGGTACTCTCTCTACTTCCTCAGCTCTCATTCCTCTACATTTTTTAAAATTTTGAATTACATCCTTCACTTATATCCATGGTTTACAGAATAATAATGTCTATACCTGTGTGTAACCACCCCACCCCCAGCATAACCTGCCCCAAGCTGACTTCCACCCAAGGTCACCGGTGGTCCCTGTGTTGCCAAATCCAATGGACGCCTTTCTGTCTTCATCTTCCTCCTCCTTTCAGCAGCTCTGGGCGTAACTGACCATCTCCTCCTTAAAACACTTTCTTCTCGATTTCTTCCTACCTCTCTCATTGCTCTTTCTCAGAATCCTTTGTTGGCTCCTTCGTTGTCTGACTCCTAAATGTCACTGGAGTCCTCAGTCCTTGTTTTCCTTGCCAGCACACTCTTCCTAGTGATCCTCTCCAATCCTGTGGCTTCAATCCACCTATAAATGCTGAGATTCCCAACTTTACATCTGTAACCCTAGCATTCTTCCACCAGAAGTCAGCCCAGCCCAGCCGTGGAAAGCAGAATAATGCCGCCACCCCCACTCCCAGAGATGTTTGTGTCCTGATCTCCAGAACCTGTGACTGTGCTACATTTTATGGCCAGCAATTTTGTGGGTTTGATTAAGTATCATGATATAGGGAAATTATCCTGGCTTATTGGGTGGGCTTTATAAAAGGAAAGCAGGAGGGTAAGAGTCAGAGAGAGATTTGAAGATGCTAACTGCTGATTTTTAAAGATGGATGAAAGGGCCACAAGCCAAGAAATGCTAGTGGCTTCTAGAAGCTAAAATGGGTAAGAAAATGGATTCTCTCCTAGAGCCTAAAGATGAAACACATCCCTGCTGACACTGATTTTAGCTGAATAAGACTTCTGACCTACAGAACCGATAGATAATAAATTTGTATTGTTTTAAGGAACTAAATGCATGATTATTTGTTACAGCAGCAATAGGAAACTAATACAATAACCAACTGCCTATTGTCTAATAGATGTCTCAAACTTAGAATGTCCAAAGCAGAACTTGTGGTTTTGGCCTCCCAAACCTGTCCCCTTCCATCTTCCCCCAGCAATATATGGCACCACCAACCACTACATTCTAAAGTCCAAAGTCTGGGGGCATCCTTGATTCACCTTTTCACTCATACTCTACGTCGAATCCATCCGTAAATCCTGTTGGCTCTTCCTGCAAGTTATATCTAGAGAACATTTCTTCTCTCCTTTCCCCACCACCATCCTGGCCACCATCATCTCGCCTGGTCTAGAGTAATAGCATCCTAACCATTATTGTTTTGTTTTTAAACTTTACTCTTGTAATTTATACCATGTCACTCCCCTTCTTCAGGAGCCTCCCGTGCACTTAGAAAAGGAGTCCATAACCCTTGCTGCAGCTCACAGGGCCTTGGGTGACCGGCCCCTTCCTGCCTCTGAGACCGCTCCTCCCGCTCCTTTGATCTCCAAGCCCCAGCTCCAGCTGGTGGGCTTCTGCTCCTAGTCTGCCCCCAGCTCTTTCCCACCTCAGGCCCTTTGCCTTGCTGTGCCCACTGCCTGAAACCCTCACCTCCCGCTACCCAAGGCTGGCTCATTCTCATCGCTCAGCCTCGCTTAATTAACTGTCACATCCTCATAAGTGCTTTCTCCAACCAGCCCCACCTCACAACCCAGTTCCTCGGCTTTGAATCACCCTATTGTATTTCCTTCTCAAAACTTGTCACGTCTGATAGTATGTGTTTACATGTTTACATGCTCATTATCTGTCTTCCCCACAGACTGTAAGTTCCCCAAGGATCTTGTCTATCTTGTTTGCCATGTTATTCCCAGGACCTGAAACAGTGCCTGGCACAGAGCAGGGATTCAGGAAATATTTGTTGAGAGATGACTAAATGACAACCAGGTAGCAGATGAGGGGACTAATCTGGGGCAGCGCTGAGGGATGTAGAGCCGGGTGCAGCTGAACTCTGAGGGCTCTGCAGCTGAGAGCTTCCAAATTAGGTCAACTTGTTCACCAATCTTGCCTCTCTTCCCAGACCCCTCCCCAGCCTGAGCCTCAGCCTTGGCCCCAGCATCTCATTTCCTACTCCCCCATGGGTAGGCTCAGAACTGGGCTCTACCCCCAACCACGCTTTGGTGGGGTAGCTGCAGGCCTGGAATAGCCTCCACCCTCCTTCCTCCTTCAGGCCTTCACCCCAGCTGTTCCCTCCGCCTTCAATGCCTTTCTCTTCCTTTCCCTA